ACAGAGATACAAAGTTGTGAAGTAGCAACATCACTTTGAACGTTAATGACGTTCACCTGCAAAGCTGATGCAATCAACGGAAATCTTCCGAATGAGCAGCTGCTAGTTGAAATTCTCGAATGAGGCTTTCTGGTGATTATCACAATTGAAACTTGTTTAAAAAAACGGCAATAAGTCGGCTAATCGAATGGTCAGAATCATCGAGACTGAACGTTAATTATAGTTTGATCGGAATAATTAGAAAGTTCAACATCAGAAACTTATTCTGGGGCCCTGACTACTACTAGTACTATTCTACTCCCACAAGAGAGCAGTCGAGAATGATTTTAAACAGTAACGTACATCTTTACTACGTCTAGATCAGTTCAAAAAATGGGAAAATACCCGGGGTCCAAAATGGTTCTTGACACTTACTGTAAGATAGTAGTTCAGAAGTGATATTTTTCAATGCAACATTCGGATTCGGATTTCATTATCGATACATACTGCTTACTTTTCTCAGGGAAACAAACAGTGGTTATCAGCTGAGCCTGTTGGTCAGGGTCCCGAGTCAGAGTTAGGCTTCCGTAACCAAGGAAGGCTCTGCGATTTTCGATCCCATGAGGTGACCAACATTTCGTTCTCCCCCATTAAGGGCTCCAGTGATTTTTACGATTTCCGGCCCTATCCCAGCTGGGCGCTAAGTTGTCTGGGAAATACAACCGGTCAACCACACTCATGTTACCTTGGGTTTTCATACAAATGGTAGTGGATTCTCAGAGAAACATAGATCATCATTTGAAGGTATCCTCAGATGGGGATGCTTTTTTGGAAAAGTCGTCCGGAATGACATTTCAAAAATTGATCGACGATCTTCAAAGTACGGCACAGTACTATTTATAGAGTCGTGCACTATACGTACCTTTGTACTTTTCGTTTCTCTCCTTTAAGCTCCCGTGAATGAATGTCATGGGGGTGACAGTTGTGAACCCCATGGACGACTATACAGTAGTCAATGAATGACGATGAAATCGCGCAAACACCAACAAGTCGACGAATGAAGAACGAGAAGACCCGAAAACTTGCCGATATTCGTTAGCTGATAGAAACGCGACGCGCGACGATACGGATTGCCGCGCGGACGATTTTTGGGGTTTGCGAATTTATCGCTAGGCTTTTTGTGAGTGTGGTCGGTCCCACGGTCGCTGCAGACAATGGCATTCATCTGAACCTCTCCATTCAACGCTGAATGTTTGGAACCGTGCTTTTATTGTTCGCCACCCTTCAAAGATATTCCAAAAACCACAAAATGAAGTAGAAAGTGAGACGGGGACAACATATGAAGGTAGACCGAATATAACCGAACTATCGAGAATCTGGCAAAGGAGATGGAGATAGTGGAGAAGAGATTTTGGACATGGAGTCTACGGAGATAAAAGGGCAGCAGCAAAATGCTCACGGGCAGATTAACTACGGCCACTTCTATCCCTAGCTTCTGTCAGACTGCCTAATGCTCAAACCCTAATTGAATTTCTATACATACGACCTGGAGCTACGGTAATAACCTGTATTGCTGACTCTCAGTAAGCTTTCTTTTCGTCACGCCATTTAACATTCGGCAACCAAGCGACAAAATGCTACAAGTTGTAGCCACTCGCTCCCGAATATAACCGAACTATCGAGAATCTGGCAAAGGAGATGGAGATAGTGGAGAAGAGATTTTGGACATGGAGTCTACGGAGATAAAAGGGCAGCAGCAAAATGCTCACGGGCAGATTAACTACGGCCACTTCTATCCCTAGCTTCTGTCAGACTGCCTAATGCTCAAAGCCTAGTTGAATTTCTATACATACGACCCGGAGCTACGGTAATAATCTGTATTGCTGACTCTTAGTAAGCTTTCTTTTCGGCACGCCATTTAACGTTCGGCAACCAAGCGACAAAATGCTACAAGTTGTAGCCACTCGCTCATATTACAACTCATTTTTATTAGTGTTATAAACACGAACTTTTGAAGTTATGAGAAGAGAAGTAACGGTAACTCTGCAAAAAAAAAAGAATAAGTCAAACTAGATGACATCATAGGCATCATAGTTCGGGTTCATCTCTATGTGAGTTGCTTCTTGAATACTCATCATGGTGGGGAAACTGGCGAAGTTCAGATGAAACTAAGCCACATTCAGGTGACTCCTGTTCCAAGTCAGTAGAATGTAAGAGCACTTTGGTTGCAACACTGATAGTGTCGATGAGTACTCGGCTTCTTTACCTCCGAGGGTGCTACTGGTAAAGAAACAGTTTGGTGCACTTTAACGGCAAGGTTCTTCGTAAGATTAGCCGTTTTGATGGCTCCACGAAGAGTAGTATAACAGTTCAGGAGTACTAAGATTACCTTAACAGGTGGCTTACACGATGCTTCCAATGGAAGTCTATGAGAATACGGTAGCCTAGAAATGCCGTTGCTGGAAATGAGGTACAATTTTCATCCAAAATCACTCCATAGACTTCAAGGAGGTGATGTGACCACTCCTATTTTGAATGTTTCCAATTTTGGCATCATTGAAGCAAAAGCAATGGCCACCCACAGTGCTCATTGTCGTCGTCATCATTACCACTTCGAATTCCAGACATCACATGCCATCAAAGGGGGGTTCGTCGGGTCCTTGGCGCTAGCGCTCATCATGAGAGATGCCATCATGGTGGACGTCGCGCGAGCGCGAGATCATGATCGACGGTCGAATCTCCTTCACACGGTGTTGTTCATCAAAAATCCTCCTCCGTTCATAGAGAGTAACACATTCATCACAGTCACCCCCACTTGTTTCTCTGTGCCCTCAATCTCCTCACGCCGTCCGTCCAGTCGTCGTCGCCGTGGTGTCGTCAGCTGCGGCGTCGGGTGCTGATAATAACGAATAGCATGTTTTGGACAAAAATGTGCCGTCCTTGACAGTTCATAGTGAGTGAGAATGATGAGGTTGAGAATGAGCATCAGCGAGGGTGGCTGTCTGACGAAGATATATGAAATGAGAAAGCGATTCACTGAAAGCGATTCACAAGACGGCCGACTGGATGAGGTTAAGAGTGATGAAGTGTGCAGGATGATCGATAGAGCAGGAGAATTTCGATGATCACATGGAACTGAGTTCAACCCGTATACCTATCGTAAACGGTTACTAAAGATAGGCCAAAGTCATGAATCTGTCAAAAAGCTGACAGTAGGTCTTCAGCTGAAGTGTCAACGATAGTATGTGTAGTGTGTTGCGTTGGCGACTGTGACAACAAGTCGAAACGACGTCCATGACGGCATCAAACATGGCTTACAGCAACGATATAACAAATGGTAAACTAGTATCACGTATTTGTAAGCATGAACGTCTCGAACCACGCCATCTATCCAAACACCTAGTGATTCCCCCTCCCAAAACTCTAAAAGGGACAGTTTCACAATGAGGGCTCTCAGCTAACGCACCTTGAAATAGCCGATCAACATGAAAACCCTAAAAATAAATCAGGAGCTCGGAAGACCTTGTTGTGCTGCCATCACTTAGAAAATTTGACGACTTTCGAGAAGAAATAGAGTCCAAGAAGTTGCAAGGAGAGTGGGAATACATTCAAGCAAAGGGTTACAGCCCATAAATAAAAGAGGTGTCTGGTAATGGCGTGGTCACTGTATTCGAGTAATAGTACTGATAGAATTGTGTAAACCGAGGGCCCTTTATCTGTAAAAGTCGAGGTGATGGCTAAATTTTGACAGCACGAACGACTAACAAAACTGTCTATTACCAATTCTTTCCGAAATTTCAGTAGGCGAAGTTTCCAAATTGCGAGTTTCGAGTAAGTACTCAAACGCTAGTGTAATTAGACTGGGGTATGAATCTGTCAACGAAAAAGAGAGAAAAAATTGAGCATGAAAATCTACAATGAGGGAAACTGGACATCTTAGAAAGGCCCATACGTTTCTCTGAGAAACCAGCAGTTGGTGGATCTGCTCAGAAAGGAGAAGGTCTCAACGGATCGGTTTGTGTGATTTATGGTGGTGAGTGGGTCTTGATAGAAGAAACAGTATATCTTACTACAATTTCTCCTATAGTTCCTATCTATGAATGATATTGATATACTGCGTAAGCGTTGAGACCAAGGACGTGATGGGATGATGATAGGAGCAAATCAAAAAATAGATTTCCTACCCTGAAAATGACAAAAAGGTGAAAAAAGTTCGTGGAAGCTCAGGGAGAGAGCCGAACTTCCAGTGATAGTACTAAGAAGCACTTATAAGCCCTCAATTTACGCAATAGCAGCAGGTCCTTTATGTTTTGGTCAAGTAGGAGAGAGAACGGTCAAAACGAGCCGTGACCGTATGGAATGGCAAATAACCATGCGAATCTTCATCCTACAAGAAACCGCTTACTGTTGGAGATCCCCTAATCAGTCACATGTGTGGCGCGTTTTATCTAGGACGCTCTCCGCTTTCGGTACAATCTCTATCACGTCCTTCGCTCGGAGAATCTCCTTCCGTCCGTGGCTAAATTTGGCATCAACGACGGGTGGGCCGATCTTCAAAGTTGCGCCAAAGGCGTGGCTTGATCTCTGTGACCAATCATGGTCATGGGCGGAGCGAACGTAGAATATAAGCGGGGTGTCGCGTTCCATCAGCACGCAGTCTTCTGCGAGTTCATGGAAATAGGCCTTATCCCTCTACGCTCAAACTTAAGTCACCATGATCCGTACACTTTGCATGTTCGTTTTCATCGCAGGAAGCTTCATTGAAGGTAGGCCCTTCGTCCGTTCTCACACCAATGGGGTCGTTCTGCTGCGGTTGCCCCGTCCGTTGCTCGAAGTGTAACGAAAATACCTTTTGCTAGACATTTCGCTTTTTTTTTTGGGAATGAAATCGGTTCATAAAACAACTGATGCATAAATTCGTCTCAAAGCTTCCACTTAACCTCTTCACTGACACTTCGAACGGTACAGAGCCAGCTGTAAGCATATCTGACCTGTAAATATCCCCTTCTGCCCCTTCATACAATTCATTCTCTCTGATTTCAGCTCTGCCAAATCGTTTCCGTCGTGCCGACAAAGTCGAGCGATATTGCGCCAAGCATCTGGAGCACTACCGTAACTACTGCTCCGACGAAACGGCCGACTTGGATCGGGCTAGCATGGCCAAATTGGCCAAATTCTGCCCAGCATACGAGAAACACTGTTCATTTTCGAAACGAATGAAAGACGACTCCAGCGAATCCGAATATGGCAATCTCGTCATCCCACCACCTCTACCTAAAGGAAGCGATTTCGCAGCTCTCGATCTGCCGATCGGTAGTCAGACCAAAGGGGGTTCGCCGGCTGTGTCGAAAACCCGTCTGACGGCTGCGATCATCGCCAGTTGCACTCCCGAGTGTACTGCAGCTCACTGCACTGATGAGTGCAAGTGTGCTCATACCCACCCAAAGGTGCATGCCATGTGCAATCCGCCAGCGAATGCCCAGCTTGCGGACACCTGCCAAAAGTGGTACTCGAAGTGTCCAATGTTCCAGCCGGTACAATACTATTAGTGCTGCCCGTTAGCAGTAACCACGAGGGTAGCATTCGTACCTGATCAACTGTAGCTTGTACCCTGTACATACATTATACAGACTTAAGTAGGGTGGGAGTGCTCGTTTATGTAGTAAGTAACTTGCTCGATTCACACGTCACAGACCATGTATGTGTATGTTACTGTTTTGTTATCCTTTTACTGCTGTATCAGTCCCACCCTATATCTATATATAATATATATATACATATACTTTTATATATATACCAGTACTCGAAGGAAGCCTCCTCAGTTTGAGCACGACGAGCATTGTTTGACCGAGCATCTTCTTGTGTTAAAATCGATCTCTTCCATTCAAATCCGGTTCGCAATACAGCTTTGAAAACGCTAATTACCGTCATCGTTACTGATATACATAAATGTTTTGTATCATATACGTTGACTACAAAACAAGTTGCACGGATTTCCCTCCGACGATTCTCAAGCCACTCTCACTCTAACTTTCTATAATTCTATCAACTTTGACTGATACCAGTAGTAGATGGAAACACGTACACAGTGAAATCGGTGCACAGGTTATGTAGACGTCATTCCGTGAATTCGCATACTCTGTTATAATCAAACATCGTGAATAAACATTGCATTGAATTTGTTTGTTGTCAAGCATTTTGTATTTGCACAAATAACACAAAAAAAAA